ATTCTTAAGCAATATTTGAGGTGTACCATCAACTATCAACAAGACAATTCAACTTCCTACTTATTGTTGGCAGAGTTTGCATGTAAAAATACAATCCATGCATCTATGCAGCAAACGCCATTCTACTCAAACTATGGTCATCATTCAAAGTTGGATATGATAGAGCCTTCAAAGTCAGCAAATCTAGTAGCAAAGGAGTTTGCTACGAAGATGGCCAAACTTCAAGCAACCATAAAGACTCACCTAGAAAGGACTCAACAATATTATAAGCTACTTGTGGATGAATTGAAAAAGAAACATCTTCCATTCAAAGTTTTTGAAAAAGTATGGCTTCTTCAGCACAATATAAAAACCAACATGCTATGTGATAAGTTGGACTATCGAAGGTTGGGACCACTTGTGATTCAGAAATAAATTAATAACATAACTTATTATTTGGAATTACCTTCAACTATGAAGATTCATCGAATCTTTCATGTTTCACTTTTAAAAAGATATAAAGAATCAAACATATGAGGTCGAAGACAACCACCACCTCTTATAGTTAAAATCAATGATCATGGTGAATTTGAGGTAGAAGAGATATTAGATTCAAGGATAAGACATTGAAGGCTTGAATATTTGATCCATTGGTATGGATATGATATCAGCAATCATACGTGAAAACTAGTTGGCAACCTTATAAATGCACAAATGAACATTTGAAGGTTCCATCAATGACATCCATCTTAACTAAAAGCGGCAAAATAAAGATTAGTAGCTTGGTAAGATAGCTTCACCGTGAAGATTCTTAATTCTTGGGCTCATAAAGAAAGGGAGGAAATAACCTTCGAAGAGGCAATTTTTGTTAAATGTTTAGAACATTATAAGTGAGTAGTTCGAGTTCACAATCATAGCTTGTTTATATTCTTTTGGTCTTATCTACTTTATATGATATGGATAGTCAAGAAATAGATGCCTTGTTGATTATACCATTTCAACCAAGTAGCTTACGGAGACGACTTTAAGATAAAGAGCCACCTGAACCACAAAGACATCAAAAGATACCTAGTAATAGATTGTTGATAATTATGTTTGAGGTAGAACTTGCCTATGAAGGACTTTCAAAAGGAGTGTTTACAAGACAATTCTATAATGAAGATACCAAAATTCATACTTGATCACAAGTAAAAAACTTAGTACACTTATCATTTGGCTATAAGGGCCTATGAATTATTTACCTCGTGAAAAAAAATTAGAATATATAGTGGATACTATATAATAGATCTTCAACTTCTTATGCATATACTGACTTGCTACAACATTGCTTCTCGAATACCTTGAAGCTAAAAGAGGAAGTGATGTCACAGACATATAATTGAAGAAGATTCTAGGAGGTTCTAGAAGGTTCCAAAAGATTCTAGTAGGTTCTAAGAAAATTCTAGAAGGTCATAGGAAGGTTCTAGGAGGCTTTGGATGATTTAGGAAGTTGCCAAAGAAGGATCTTAGGCTTGCTTTGTTCCCAAGTTTTATAAAAACTTTTCAAGAAGCTTCCTATGACTTAGTATATATAGGAGTCAAGGTTGAAGAGATCTTCAATCTTGACAACTCACTTCTTATGGTCTAGTCAGGACTTTCTTGCCTTGTATCCAATTATTGTTCTAATATCAAGTTAACTCCATTTCTTAGTCTTGGATCCTTGTCTTGTATATGGTCCCTAACATTTTAGTTCTTTGAGGTTCATGACCTTAAAAAAATTAAAATTAGAAAGAGAAGTGATGTTATAGACATCCAAAAATATCTATCATTTAATACACTTATTTAAAAAGAAACACCAAAGTGTATGTCTTCATGTGTGCATGTCTCTAAAGATTGTTAAAAAAATAGAATTCAATCAATTGTATGCAGCTCTACATTAAGTCAATAATACTGTTGGTTTTATTTGAAGAAGATGCGTGTTCTAAACATAAATTGCGTTTTGTTCAATAAGTTTAATTTGAGCTTAAAATGAGATCTAGAACATTGTAATTTCAAGTGAAATGTTTGCCTTACATAACATGCAAAATATATTAAAAAGTAGATCTACCTTGTTGTGAATTTTTTGTTGTTTCAAAAGAAGAAAACTTAGAAAACCAATGGATGTTGTCACTTTTTTGAACCTACAATTTTGGTAATCTTTGTATTGAGAATACTTACTCTTTGCACTCTAACATCAGATTTGTATTCTTACTTCAATCAATTAAATAATTACCACACATCTTAATCTATCATGTCAATGATTCTAAACAAAGTTTATCAACAAAAGGACAAATTCAAATTCTTTAGCACCTCTTTTTTAACAATTCTTTGAACTTGTTATGCCAAAGAGATAAAAGTCTTTTCTTTTGTAAGCCATTGGAATAGTATTTGAAGGTCTATGATTGCATTGTTCCAAGCTCAAAGTACAAGAAAATCATTTTGAAAGTATCAAAATAGTACCCAAAAAAAAAAAAAAAAAAAAAAAAAAACTTGATGTATATTTGTAAATAACAAAATTAATAAAAATATAATGAAAACTATTTTGGACTTGAAAGATTAAGTACTAATAGTATAAAGAAAAATAGATTATTTATAAGCAATTCTTAGTTAGAAAGTGAATTATTATAACTGAAGCCTTCCTTAATACTAAAAATTCTAGTCTTAATCATCTAAATTCTAGATGTACTACATATTTTCTTAGCATGTAGATTGAAATCATAATGGCTTTTAGAAGAAGACAATGACAATGCCTACAAGGCGTTGTTGCATTGTACAACAAATGTACTCTCCTTTGCTTTTCATACATGTTCTTTGCTAAAGAGAAGTTGTACACCAACTCCTTCCACTCTTTTTCTATCCAAAATAAAAACTCTTTTAGCCTTGACTGTATCTTTTCAACACTTGAAGTTTTGATGGAGGGGTGCAATGACAATGGCAACAACAACAAAGGGATGTGAGACATGTTCCTAAGCATCAACACTTTACATTTTGCAGCATGCAATTTTGAGCCCCAAAATGGGCTAAAACTGGATTTATGTAATAAACTATCAAGTCTAAGAATATAATTAAAATTATAGGAAAACTTAAGGATATATGAGTAATTATCAAGAATACATGGATATTGTTGATATTTCCACATATTTTAGGGGTACAAATAAAAATTTGTTTAAAAAATATATATATATATATATATATATATATTTAATAATATATGCATCTAAAAATATATATATATATATAATAATAATATATGCATCCAAATATATATATATATATATATATATATATATTCAGAAAAGAAATCCCATAAAAATATGAAAGTATCACAAGATACAAAGAAGATTAAAAGACAAGCTAATTGAAAAAAAAAAACCATAATACAAATTGCACTAAAGAAGAGGATATCAAGCTTGGTGTGGGAAGGTTAGTTCCTTTTGACAAAGAGACAAGAGGCTAAAAACAGGAATGAAGCATCAAGATGGGGGTACAATAATAGTATTGATGGGTATGTCCATTTAATCACTATCGAGGTTGATACAACATTCCCCTGTTAACATATATACTTTACAATATTGGATTTGAAAGAGAAAATAGCTGTGGATTTACATCTATTTTACAGCTCATGGACATAAAATGAACTGTGTATGTATGTATATACAATTTTCTATTTCACTTCAGTCCAACTTATTATGAAATCATAGAAATATTTTTTCTTAAAGGTGAAATAAAATTTGTATTGTATGATTCTGTTGATTTAAAAATGCTGTAATACCCAGTTTCAAGAATTTAAAATGTTCATCGATGACGGTGTTAGATTTTTTTGTTCAGGTATGCATTTTCTTTTCTCCTAGTGAAATCTCCATTCTGTGTTGAGAAGAGAGGCACACTCACCCATATTCCATTCGGTGACGGAAGCAGTTGATCACTGCACACCTCGGATGTAACCACTGCGAGTCTGCATTGATTAGATTGGAACTTATGTTTAATACAAGCCATGCCGACGGATTGAGCATCTACAACCCACCAGTTGCCTTCAGACCTTGAACAATCCCGACGCCAATCACATGTCCCATCGCTCCGCAAGCTAGAGTGTCAGTGGCAGAGAATCCCGCTGGATCGCCGGTCTGAAGACCAGAGTCCCTGTCCACAAGCTTGAGCCCAGCAGTTGATTTCCTATTAGCTGAGGGAGCGAGGCCGAACCTCCCAGCGAACAACATCAACGTGGTGGACGCAACCATGATCTGCGCACAGTGCATTGAAAAGATATGAGACAGAGTCCATGCTAGCCCAACATTGGAGGGAGGTAGCGTCCGAGTGGACATTGTACAGTTTCATAGGGGAGCACAATCATAGGACATGCCCAAAAGATCCGAGACAAATTTGCCCACGGAAATTGCACCAGAAGAGTGTTTTTCTCAGCATGCTCATCCGAATCTCTGAGTACCACGAATTGTAGATGCTCAATTTCTATCTTTGTTGTGCTTGACGAGTCTAGGTTAGAGCTAATCGCAGAGAATCTCGGCATATTTGAACATGCAATGAATCAGAACAAGTGCGCTTACAGAAACTAGGCCAAAGTAGATAATGATGATGGTGATGGTAATGAAGAATACCAGATTGGTTGAGGAACCGATGTAGTCGCAACTTGCCTGTAGTCTTCCTCAAGGCCTGCTAACAAATAACAGGTTAACTACAGCGACATTGCTCAATTTTTTTAGGACGGACGCCTAATTCAGCACTATGTCATAAAAGGTTTCGCCTCCAGCGATCGATATAAGCTAACTCATCGCTAGCGTATACTCCCAAATTGATCAACTGGCAATCTACAGTTCGCATGCAAGCCACAGGACCACGATACGTATCAATGGAGAAGGTCACGCTCAACTCCTGCACGTAGATGTAATTCTTCTGGTGGTTTTCCATTAACATATCCAGTTACTGTGCGTCACATTCAATTAGCTACGTACACCTTCCACTGCTACGTAGCTAAGTGGAGCACGTACCAGGCTTGGAATGGGCTTGCTGAAGCAGGTGGTGCTCTTGAGGCCTTCAAACAGGTGCACAGTGGCGACTGACATCGTAGCGGCCACGGTAGCCATGATGAATCGGCTGCACACACACACACAAAGAAATCCGAGCACAATCACGTAGAAGAGGGGGCGGATGAAGCAGGATGGAATGGAATGAGAACACGCAAGCAAGGATGCTTCGGAGGTCTTGTTCTAGGGAAAGACCAAACTGCTTGGAACGATAGGGATGTGGATATGAGGCCTCTCCTCCAATCACCGTTACGGTGAACATCTTGAACCATCCACATTCCCCCCTACTTCGATAAGGCCAGAGCACTTTTTCAGGTGTCATGCCCTCAGTGACCACAATCGTTGACCTAAAACAAATCCCACATATTTCCATTTTCAAATGCTCTCACTCGCGTCTGATAGCCTGGCCTGATTCCGGTCACAATTGCAATTACTTCTTTTGTAGGTTTTCTTTGTTGTCGTGTGTTGGAGTTGTACTCCTCTCAGCCGACCCTTCCCTCCGATGTTGTCATGGTTGATTGTCTGGTCCTCCAACCATACCGGCAACGTCTTTTCCCCTCATGATCGCATACTGTATTGCGAGCAAATATCCCAACGCACTTCCCTCCACATGAAGCAGTTCACATAGAGTCGGCTCTCTGCGGAATGCTTGCGTCGTTTACAGTATGCACCTGACAAGTTCGTCTGGTTGGAGGGTCGTAGTGCACAGTTGTTGTGTTAATGATCAGCACCCTACACTTACTACTCCCTACTTGGAGAATGTATGATGCCATTCTGCATCATTAGGATGCGCAGTATTTTACCGTTTTTGACGAAATGTATGAGGTCTTCCTGAAGAGTTGAATGGTATTAATACGGTTTAATTAATGAAATTTTTTCACAATTCTTCATGTAACTGTACTAATTACACGTAGCTTGCCTAGGTAGGATAGTCGATCAAGAAGAGGGAAATTCTCATGGTGCAAGTCGGGATTTAAATGGCCGCGATAGGTGAAAGTGCGATTCGTCGTCCCAGTCTGACTGCAAATCAGGGGTTCGCTCATCGCACACTTCCGATCTCAATCATTTCGCCATGCAACGTTAGTTCTACGTTTTCGAAGTGGAATTTTGACGCGGAATTCTTCCTGACGCATAAATTGCAACGATGGAATCAACATTGCCCATCCGGAATTAGGTTTTTTTCCTTTGATCATGTGACTTCATAAGCGTGCATCATATTTGGAGTGGGTGCTGTATGTTTTCTTGTTAGAGAAGACCTTTCATTCACCATGCTCGACGATTTAGGAGCTTGCGTTCACCTCCTAAACGTAGGTATCATTAAAAATTCAGCGGCTTCATTTAAGCCATCCAGCACCTCAAATTCCGTTCTGGATACGCGTTTACTTGAAGAAGCATGGTTTCGGTCGAGAAGGAGGTCAGTTTATCGTTTTGGAATCCTCACCTGTTCATTTATTTTATGTGGTTGAACCCTCCCAACATTGACTCCACAGTCGGACGCAAGAAGTTCACTGTGAGAATTCGTGGAGCAACACGCCTACCCTAGTCGTTGTCAATGCTACGCAAAGTGGAATGCGGAGGAGTTATTGTGTACGATTTGGGACCAGCAGAAGAGAGCTGAAAGAGATTCCCCGGCCATTGATCCAAATCCAAGAAAATGTGGGCATCTGGTCAAGGCCCGGTGCCTTCGATGCCACAGAATCTCAGAGTCTACGCAAATGCATATCCTCAGAACCAGCAGGTTGTGCCCCCTTCAACACTCGCAGCCCTCAACCCCCGAGGAAACCCAGAGGTTCAAAACCAGCTCACGTCTTACACGACTTATCCGCCGTCCCTACTACAAGAGAACATGGGGAATGCAGTCCGATTGCCGCAGTACATGGGTGGCGGCATGGTTCTTCTGGACCAGAATCGTCTCTTCGAAGACCGCATTTGGTGCTTTTGCTCAACAGTTTACTTTGAATAATGTGTGTACATGTGAGGATACGCCCCTGCAGATTTTGTAATCTACGAATTGTGATGAATGATGACAGGAGGGAGAGCATGCTACTGTCGGAATACTCGATGGGCGAGGTTGTGATGGTGAGGTGTAACAAACACAAATGGCTCTACGGTGTGATTCATAAGATGTCCGCCCACGGGGTGCGGATCTGGATCTCTGATGCCGAACTTCTCGTGAATGTTCCGATCGCGCTGTTACCAACCCACATCATTAAGCTGTCTGCGAACTCCGAGCCACAGACTTTTCCACAATCCCAGGCCATGTTGACGATGGCCACAATTGACAGCGATGGATGCCGTAGAGTTCGGCTGCAATGTGTGCGACCTGCACACCTTTCCCATCGCCAGCTTTACCGTATGAAGGATTGTCTTGTGTGTGTCCTCTGCAAGTAAGTCATCTCTCCATATAACCTTAATTGGTCTCACGGTCTTCAAAGCTTTGATCAAAGCAGTTTAAGGTAAGACTTTACAATGAAAATCTTTTTGGCATGCAGAACGCCTTTATCGCCGCAAACCAACATAGTAAACCCATGGCGCTGCCCTCACAGAGTCCACAGCCATTGCCTGCAGCTCCACATGCAGCATAGCTCGAACCTTGTTTGCCCTTCAAATTCATGTAATACCAGCCACCTTATGTCCCCACCAACCACCACTTTCTCTTCAAGAGATTGGGAGCAGCACGAGCAATGGTTCGACCCTCAGAGAGCGTTTGGATTGAGAGGTCAAATGACTGATGTTTCTAACCCGAATATGCTTCTTTCTTGCCCTGATTGCAACCAACCTACAAATGCCAATCAAATGATGATGGGTATGCCCATCGATCAGCAGCTTGCTTACATGGAGCTACCTCATGCTTACTCGCATTCAGAGGGAGAGATTCTTCAGAGCGGAAATATCCAAAATCAGATGTCTGGGGGACCTCTGCACTCTTTCAGTGGCTTCACCAGGTAATCTCAAGCACTCTAGTCATCCGTCTCGAATTTTTCAGAAGTGTTGAACAAATTTGGTCACCAAACATCTCTATGTTGGCATGTGTAGACTAGAAGCAATAGAGGAGGGTCGAGAAGGACCTCCGTCACTTGAATCAGTCGACTTAGTCATGTATTATGATGAACCTGGCTTCTCCCAATTCAATAGTGTGAATATGCCAAACCAAAACTGGTCTGATTCAAAAGTTATTGCCGTCGATCGAAACACAAAGTCACCTTCCACTTCTCAAAGACTGTGGTCTGAAGCCTCATTGAACACGTCTGTCCCTTCTCGTGTTTCTCCAATTCTCAACGAGCAATTGAAGAACAATGCTACTGGTGCTCTGGAGGTCGTCATCAGACCTGCAGCATCTGTGCACGTAAATCATGTAAATCTCACTGAATACGAAGAAGAGGAAGGTATGTAGGATGATTTCAACCTCGTGTGCCTAGTTTACCATTCATCATAATGTACTTTTTTGGATGAATACATGCAGCAATTTTATTTTATTTTTTATTTGTATTTTTCATCTCTTTTTCATTAATACTTGACGAGCTGCAGCCATGAATACAAGTCCTAACTTGCATGTTAATCTTCTGCTGATATTGATGAAACAGTAGCGACACCAAACATAAACAACACTCTCGTCGCGGCCATCGACAACAGGGCATACAGTGAAGAATTTGGTGCAGGGCAAACTACAGAATCAGAGTTCTGTAGGAATAGTGCATTGTCCTGCGCCAAGGATGGGGACAAGAACATAGAAACGAATTCATCAAACGATATTGCCAATAGAATCAGTTCAAATACTTCGGCAGTGTGTGTCAATCCCTTTCCTGAGTTCTTAGGAGTAGATGAATCATCGGAGACATTGAATATGGACAAGGTAACTATTGGAGCCACGAAGGGAGCCAGCACAGGGCAGAGATCATGGAGGAGGGCGAAAGAATTAGTGCTGGCTGGGAGTACTATTGACTTACAGATGGAAGCGAGCTCCTCTGTGACTGACAATGCAGCTTCGCCAGTGTATGTGAACCACTTCGCTGATTTCGTCAAACTAGCGATGGCTGGTGCATCCACTGCCAAAGATATCCTTGCTAGTGCGTCAGCTTCAACTCCTAGGAATACTTACACAGACGAATCATCATCTCCGATCAATGACTCTCCTCATCTACTTCCTGCTGCCTTCATCTCACGAAGTGCTGCCTTGGTTAGTCCAGCTTCTGCTTCGATGTCCCCAGGTCCTACCGCGATCAAGCGGGCTCCTGGCTTATTCGCAGGACCTCCTCCTTGGGTGAGCGTGACTTCAACTCTAGGAGAAGGGGCCACCTCTTCGGCTTGGATCACCGTGATTAAAGATGGAAAAGATACCCGAAATGCTGATTCTGCACGATGGGAACTAAATAAAGTAGCCAGGGATAAAGAAGATGAATTCGGCTGAGCGACCTTCGTCCCGGGCATTTAGTTTTCTCCTCCGTCTTTCAAATGTACATGTTGGTTGCATTGATAATGAATAGCTAGGATTAGTTGAAAATAGAGTGTTAGACTCCAAGTAGATTTCAGTTGCGCACGTTGGAAGATGTACAAGAATGGTGTCGAAGTATTGACACACTTGATTAGAGTGTGCACTTGTCTACTTCACGTGTGCGTAAAGATTGTTTAAATATGTCCATTGACTTTGAACAATTAGATTCTGTCGCGAATAACCAGCCTGTTCCCAATGAACAATCTCAGAATTTACTAACCAATGTTGAGGTGATTTGACCACCTTGTATATACACTTCGCACGATTTATAATCATAGTTTGGGTGACATGATCAAATTGCGTCACGTCAGAGAAAAATTGTCGACAAATGAAACATGGACTTCCCTCAAAATGTAATATGCTACAGAGAATGCTCACATGCTAAACTCTCTGTGCGCTCTCTATTTCGAACTTCGCGCACGTTCATCAGTGACGGGTACAACCATGTACACTCAACATAACAGTTAATCTACTGAAGCTCTACACTCAACATCCGATCATGATGTCACGGGGTTGCTAAGACTGGTATATGATCGTCCTGACGAAGAAGAGTGACGATGTCTGGTGTTAACGGAATCTGACACCAGAGCGGCTCGCGCCATCATCAAACCCAAAGGGCGCAGGGCATCTTCAATGTTACCGAATGCCACAAACTCTTGTAATTTCGTCTCACCGCCCCATTGATTAGGGATCACCACACTTCGGCATTGCTCGTTACTGAACCGCCTTAGTCTCTCCCTCTGCGACATGAAACTGTCTTGTGATGAAGAACCCTCAGCTGCAAGCGATAGGTTGGTCTCATAAAATTCAGGACAAGTACTGCCAGATTCTTCACTTTCTTGTGATCTCGCCATCATGAGCCTTTCTCTTTGGGACTTAAATCTGCTTGGTTTATCCTCTTCACTGATTGCTACAGGTTGGGAAATGGTAGCAAACAAATCCTCGTCATCACCCAATTGATACCTCGACAGGTTGAATCTGTTCTGCTTCGTTGGTGGAGGTATGCACAGCGGTATTGATGGAAAGTCTTCAGTATTCCTCCGACCTATGTCATCATAATGACCTGGATACCCTTGATCCATGAGCCCGGTATCGTAGCTGGGAAGACTCGATTTCTCAATCGAGTTGATCTTTGATGCGTAAGGTCCGTATCCGGCATCAGAGTAGGAGGAGGTATGCACTCCACCATTGGTCGATGCGAGTGGTGTATTTCTCACATTTGGGGAGACCAGCGTAGTAGGAGATGAAGACAAGCCCGTTGCCGAGACATCCGCAGAACGTCTTTTCGCTTTATGTTCATGATCTTCCACAGATAAGAAACTTCGTTTGCGGTCGTTTGAAGAGACTGGCGACTTAGGACACCTACTCAAGTCCGCACTTACGTCCAACATCTCCATTGGGCAAGTTTGCTTAGCCTTCAAGTTTGTATTGCTGAAGTTGGTAGCGACCATCGGAGAACTCAATGAATATTGCAGCTACTAGGCTATGTCCCAGTGCCAGGACAGTTCCGATAAGTCCACGGATTCTACTTCACTTAGTTGGAAACCTGTAAAAGGATAAATTTTAGTTAAGATCCAGCGCAACTTCGATACCTTGTGATATCCTACGATGCCATCATGCAATGAAATTCGAAGGTACATAGAGAGCGAATTTGATAGGACGTCTGTGATGAAGCATACAATATCGGCCTAAGCGAAGACATCTTATTTGAAGACAGAGCGACAAGTGAGCCCCAAATTCAGTGGAAAAAAAAAAAAAAAAAAAAAAAAAAAAAAAGGATTGCAAGACAGACTTATGTTTCAATTAAGGTTAAGTGTATTCCATGCACTAAGTTTTCCTACATGTCTCAGAATCCTTTTCATATCGTGTTCGAAGTCTGAAATGGTCGGTAACAACGAGAAACGAAATTTGATCGAGTAGTTTAACACAGAGACACATACTAAATGCGAGTACCTAGTTGACGAATCAGTTCGTAAGCGACCACTCCTACTGTTTCTAAACGTAAGTGTACGAGATAGAATAGACTCTACTTGGAAAACATAACCATATCATACTACACCTTGTTCTAATATACCTTGTGAGTTCTTGATGTCAGTAAATTAGCTCTTTCTCCGTAATGACTATGGCACTCAAAATCACTCACAAAATACGGAAACGATAGAATCGGGCGCTGTTTAACGTCATTCAGTCACTTTTCGTATCGATAATCTAGACATCTGAAACATTAGTTCGTAGGCTGAGTTCGACCGCTCGTTCTTCTCCAACCCGAACCCCAGCCCCTCGTTGACACGTTCGTCTCTTAGACGCATGAAATACACCTCGTGCTTATACTAACGGCACATCGAGCACCAGTGACGAAACGGGAAGAATAGTCAACTTAGACATCACTTCAAAGAGTGGGAAACGTGATATCATGATAAACACACCGATACTTTCTCATTCAGGAAGGAGCTCAATGAGATTCAGAAGTTACTTGAAGGACTCACATCGGCGAGTTCGTCGGCATACTTGAAAACAGAATACTGGAACAACATGCTACTCTTCGACTCCTGTTTCAAAAGATCGGGGTCCACAGAACGAGATGAGTACCAGCGCAGTTCCAACCTTGCATGAATCGGGCAGTCCCTGTGTCACTTTAACAGTACAGAGTTCCAACTGCTTCGCTTGACTGCTCCGCCCGAATCCACAACCGTTTCAGTTCAGAAACACTATTCTCTCAGAACCTTCAAGGATCGTAGAGGATACAAGAATCAACCCCGTCGTGCACACTCCTCACCAACATCACAGGGCCCAACAGCCTCCCCAAACTACACAAAATAAAATGATAATAAACTACAAAGTCACGGCACAACAACAGTCAATGCGATTACACAAAAACAATACACAGACTGAGAGCGGAATAAAGGATTCCTTGGGAACAACCACGAAATGCAGGTAAGCAAACGGAATGATTGTGAAGAGTGAGAAAGAGGGGACAGTGCAGAGGCGCAGACTCATTGGAGCTGCTGGTCTGCTGTGAGCCATGAGTCGCCGAAAGGCAGTGTCCCGCGGTGTGTACACAGCCCACAAGGGAGACACAGGGGGGGGGGGGGGGGGGGGGAGAGAATGGAAACAGTCGACGTGTTCAGACGAAGGCCATGGAGACCATGAGTGGAGGGTGTGCGAGCAACAGACGAAAAGCTTTCGGGACAACTTTCAAAGGGCCCGGCACACGCAGCCAATGCGCGCGCTTCGACTGATTCCCCGTATCGATTGATATTTCTCTCTCGCATCTGCTAGTAACCCCACGCCTTTTTGCCCTTCCTCTTTTCTACACACGCCGCGGCTAACCAACTTTTCCCCCCGGTCTCGACGCCTGTTATTATTCTAAAGCAGCACCGGGTATTCGACACGGACGCTGCCCGCGCTTTCGCCCCTCCTCCTCCTGCTGTCGTTTCCTTCCCCGAGCCCCCGAGCTTTGTGGCCATGGTATTCAATTGGGGGATTCCGACAAGCCGCCTGGCGCCCTCTGCGATGTTGATGCAGGCCTCTTTTCCCCAGGCCACGCTAATTTCGTGACATCCGGATCTATACCCGGGAGATACGACGGGGGAGCTGAGAACGGTCAGACGACGCCGGGGGTCGGGGTGGAAAGACTACGATACGAACGCATTGATGAGGGATGAGTAGGATCGAGTGCCTTTGTTATCCGCTCGAGGGTGGGGGAATTCTCTTCTCGTTGTTGAGTGATTGTAGCATCCTCATTCATATAATTTATTGGGTGGCAGGTAACTAGATGGCAAACCCGTGTTGGTCATGATCCTTGAGCGTGGGATTGGTCGGGGGCAGGTATTGGTCTTGATCCTTGACCTTGCCAGGATATATCAATCATTAACAGGCTGAGTAGAGTAGAGAAGAGAAGAGAAGAGTAGAAGTAGAGAGGATTTGGGATTGCGTAGATGTAGAAGCGCAGGATTGCAGCATAGCAGAGCAGGGAGGGCAAGGGGGACTTCCCGGCCTATCCCAAAATAGTTTCTGATTGCCTCCACACGAACACTCCACCCCCCCCCCCTCCCCCCTAAAGTAGCCGGAATCTCCTTTTTCTCCTTTTCTCCTTTTTCCTTTTTTTTCTTTCATTTGTCTTGGTTCATTCTCCTTTGTCCACGTTTATGCTTCATTAACACCTTGCTGGTGTAAAGTGAGTAGTAGCTTCCCCAAATAAGACCCCCCTAACACAACACATGAATAGATGGATAGATAGAGGGGAACATAAAGAGGAAGTGAGAGGTAGAGAGGGGAAAATGTAATTGACATTTGTGGGTAAAGGAATTGGGTGTAATTGTTGCATAGAAATGTTGTGATCTACTTGGTCACATCCAACAAAGGCAACTTAAGACCCAAATGCTTTAGTGCTATACTAATTATGCTTGTTTGAAAACAGTATACATGGTTTGTGGAGGTAGTATTGTGAACCCTGTTAGTGATGGTATATTTGGAACAGATGATGGATGTGTTATTAAAATCTAAATGTAAGTTCTGAGAGATCCAACTCATGCATTTATACCAACTAAAATAAAAAGATGATTAGCCTTGTTTTCATTCAGGTTGAATAATTAGAGTAACTGTGTGTGTAAACCCATGCTTATTTGTTTCAAAAATGAAGAGTTTGTATCACCAAACTATTTGGCCATACTTTTACATTATTTTTTTACTTAAAAAATATTAATACAAGCAAAAAGAAAATATTCTAATGTTACCAAAAAGTCCAAAAAAATAATAATTATGCAAATCAAAAGTTGAACCAATTGCAGAACGGCAATTAAATATTCACAAGAAAAAGTGTTTTCCCTACTACTCAATTGGAACCTCGTCACCCACTTTGAAATGCATGCCTTGAAATCAAACACACTATTCATAGTTCAAATCTTAAAATTGTACACTGGAAGAAAAGAACAAAACAAAACAAAACAAAACAAAATAAACTAATAAAGCTGTAAGAAATAAAGATATATCATGTTACAAAATGTTTATGTTTTTTGTGTGTTACATTTTTTATATTTCATATATTTTTTGCAATAAAATTCGTTATTTTTGTCCAATATAGATAACACCTTAAATGTTCAGATTTAATTTAAAACCATAACAAGACCACAATAGACTTTCACCACAGAAAAAAACCAAAAACATAGAGTATGTTGGATGACTTCAAAGTTCAGTCATGCTTTTTTGTACACTTTTATTGCTTGCAAAATAATCAGATAGAATTGAATAATTAACAGTGTCCTGTAAAATTCACAAAATCAATCAAGTAAACTGATAGAAATTACATTAGGTACTCAAAATTCTGTTTCAATATCTGAAATTCCATGTCATTTGTTGCATGTAAGTACCACAAACACTTTTCGTTATGTGTTGAGTCATTTAGAAGAATATGGCAATTTTTTGTGTAAATTAATATTCAAGGATAAAACGAAATAAAATAATATAGATCTTCCATATTGTGTATTAAATATAAACTACATGTTTTTAAATATGCAAAAATGGTTCCGAGATAACTAGTTAAGTATTTATTATTAAAATATCAAAATATATAGCATTTGTATATTAATATTTAACAATATAAAAATAAAAGTTGAAGTTTAATAAAAAACTCCAGAAAATACTATGTTTTACAAAACAAAATTCTAAACCTTTTCAATTTTTTTCAAATAATATAAATTCTGAAAAAAGCCGTAATTTTATGTTATCCAGTTTACTTTTGTTCACCTTAGGTCGTAAGAAAGTTAAATAAATTAGAATTTTAATTTTAATTTACAGGTGATAAATGTAGGATCGTGTTGTGCTAAAATTTTGAAATATTATTAAAATTAAATAATTTTTAATTGAACATATCATATTTTAAACTATGCAAAGATGGTGCTAAAGCTTTGTAAATTTTAATTTTTTACATTTTTCATAAAAGCTTCTTATGATAGTTTTTAGCAAAGTGATTTTTTATTTTAATCCTAAATTTTCTTAAACGAGTAAAACATCCATTGAAAAGAACTCGATTTTAAAATTGCTAATAAGAAGTTATAAATTCATTACATTTTTGAGATAGAGTACGAAATTGAATTCTTGTTTGGAGTAATTTTTGTAGTATTTATATTGTCATAGGGATGTAGAAGAAAAAAAAAAAATAAAGGATTAAAAATTTTCAAAAATAAAATGAAACTCTAATAAACGCAATTTTGGTCTTCTATTCTAACATATTTAACTCAAAAAAATCAAAAAATAAATAAAAAATTTACCAAAATCATAAATTGGTTCAAAATTTATCAAAATATTTTTATTTTTATTTTTAATATTTAAATAATTTTAAAAAAGATTGTATTGAATTTAAAGAAATGTTTTTATTATCTAAAATTTTATTCTGAGATAATTGACATAAAATTTTGTATGCACTTATATATATAATTATTGTAAGAATTCCTTTTGCGTCTTCTTTTATTGTGAATTAAAACATAATTAATATGTGAAATTATTTTGATTGCAGATATATTTTTACATTATTAATAAATAAATTTATGCATATATATATATATATATATATATATATATTATCCATTACCTAATAGCTAGTATGACAAGATTCAAGATTCTTGGTTTAAAATCTTTAGATTAAATATGTCTTGTAACACTTATGATTCTTCAAATAGTCTATTGATTATGGTTTTAAAGGGTTTTTTTCTTCTTCCTAATGAGCATTTCAAAAATATACATGTATCAATTGATTATTATCAAATATAAAAAATAAAAATATTTCATATATTGAGATATAAATAGCTGAATTATTATTCTTAAATACTTTTTATTATTTTCTAATTTTTTCAAATTTATTCAAGTATATATATACATAAACAAACAATAAGTTATAGTTTGTTGACATTATTTGCTCTAAAAATTGAAAATTATTTCAATGCATAAATCATATATTTTTAATTTCATTGTCTGCATATAACACATTTTATTCATAACAATGTTAAAATATAAATTAGTAAATTAGATACATAAAAATATGTTATGATTTCTATTATGTTTTTTGAAAAAATATAAGATACTCGAGGTCTTCTAAAATTTCTTTTCTTCAAAACAAAGTCTCAAAACTTTATACTTGAAATGATATAAATATTAAGGATATGAATCTTGAAGAAAGAAATCCTCAATAGACTCTTATGTCATTGAAAAGAACTAAAAAGTCACTCAAAGATGATATAATATTATATTAGAATGCCTATTACCAAAAACATGAAGATAAAAAAGTCTTGAAATAAGACTAAGGACTAGAAAGGCGTTGACAAGAGTGAAGAAGGCTTCACTTTTGCCTCCATATATATTCTTAACTAGGATTTATATAGTCATGTCTTACCAGATCTTCAAAATGTGTTGACTTTGCAAGATACATATCTTAACTTACAAAATACGTTTTTTATTTGTAAGCCACATAGGTAGCTTGTTTCATAAGCTACCATTGCGTAATTAACTAATTGATCAAGTTTCTAACCTATCAATCAACCACAAATACATATAAAGTTAAAGTAGCACCTATGAAGCTTCTACAAAGCTTCTGTAGAAGGTATTATGAAACTGACATATTTTTATCTACTTCTACCTAATCATATAGGTATTTACTAGAATATATTGTCATGATGTAATATGACTAATGAATAAAAGAAAGATGAAATTATTATATTATAAAATATCTTATTTTAAAATATTATAAAAAATTATTTTATAAATATAGATAATAGTCTAAAAGATAATAAACAAAAAAGTGCTAATATTGCTTTTATAAAATAGGCTTCCACTTACTTTATAGGACCATAAATAATTAAAAATAAAGTAGATTAGAAAATTATATAATATAAGTATGTATAGGAGAAAAATCAAGAGTTGATTTTAGCAAAATTTACTTTAAGAAGCCAAAGATTGATATCTAGAGAGGACTGGTTTTCAATCTGGGTCAAAATCAGACCTTGAGGCACAAACCTACATATCTATGGAAAATTTGAGGTTCTTTGGAAGATTGGAGAGTGGAA